AGTCGTCCAAACATGCATCATCCAGTAAACAAATGTCTGAGTACTTTCATTTCATGTTCATCTAAAAGATACATCAATTTGAGTTCAAGTGTGCACCTGAAAATGAAAGAAGGAAGCAGAAAAATGAGGTATCAACAGTAACCAACAGCAGCAGTAGTATTCAATACCAGAAAATGAACCAGCAGACTAATTTTGAAACCAAGGGATGTGATACGATAGTCAGACCCTAATTTCAATCTTAGTGAATCAGCAGACCTCAAACCCGACTCGACTTAAACCCTTTTTATTATCAACTAACCAAGAATTGCTTCCATACTAGAAGAAAACTTCAGAAAATACCAAATGACTCAATGAAACAGTGTATTTTTCTGAAATTCTGCAATCGTTTTTGATTTTTTTCTGTATCTCTTTTCCTATATCTCTCTTAGAATTCCTTCCAAGTTTTCTTAGCTCTCTGCCCCTGTATATTCAGTGTATCCAGAATGTATATCGAGTGTATACCGCTCTCTCCGCCCTTTTTTTCTTCTTCTCAGAATTTCCTAGCCTTCTACCCTCTTTGAATGTTCTCCCCCTCTGACCATGATTTTCAGCCCTTAAATGGGCATTAAGTTAGTGCCATTTCCATTACCCATTCCCATTTTTCAATTATCTACACTAGCTTAGTATTTTTATTTAATTTAGTAGTGCATTTCCTAGACCCTACCATTGTAGAAACTTCCTAAAGTTAGGTAAACATTACCCTTATTGAACAACCCCTAAACCAAATTATTCTACCAAATTAACTTAATTATCTCTGAATAATAATTACCACACCTAATTAAATATTAAATTAAAATAAAATTACAAAAATTCGAAATTAAACAATAAAAATGCAAAATACATTTTTTTGTGATTTTTTCAATTTTGTAAAGCAGATAAATTACTTACTGATTTAAAAATGCAAAAATTAAATCCTAGATGCGAATGCAACATATTTTTTGTATTTTCAAGATTATGTAAAGATAAAAAATAAGGTACTATTTTTGTATATTTTTATTTAAATTTATGAAAGATACGTAAGCTAAAATATTTTTTGTAATCTTTCATTTTTATGACGAAAATAAAGTAAAGAAGTCAAAAATAGTTGAAATAGCTATATTAGGCCTACATTAAATATTTACATGCTAAAATATAAAAATCTTGGGTAAGGTCAAAAATCACATGTCTACAATAGTATAAGATAAGCAGTACACTCGAAAACTAACACTAAGAATTTAATACAGGAAAATAAGGAATTCAATAACTAAAACAGAGGCAAAAACAATCACAAGGAAATAACCGGGGATCTCTCAGTATCCCGAGGATCTCTTAGTACCTTCAATATATGTCAGGGATCTCTTGGTATCCCGAGAATCTCTCGGTATCCTCAATATATATTAGGGATCTCTTGGTATCCCGAGGATCCCTCGGTATCCTCAATATATGCTAGGGACCTCTTGGTATCCTCAATATACGTGCCAAGGATCTCTCGGTATCCCGCACCTCAGTTCAAATCATAAATACATACAGGGGATCTCCCGGGATGCCGTCCGTAGTCCCAAAGTAAAACACACAGCAGCAACACAAAAATACTCAATTAAGCTCAATTTCGTATCAAGTAAACAGGTACTTCTAATCTAACATGCTTCACATAATTCAATTAAGGCAGTTTAAGCAAATAAACAGTTAAGTCAATTAGACATGCTTTTTCTAAGTTAATAGCAAGTTTAAATTGCAAGTAAAATGAAACAGGAAAAGGAACACAATTGAAATTATTTAAAGAAAATCAGATTTTCAACAATTAGCTCAAGTACGCACTCGTCACCTCACGTACAAGGCATTTCAAACATCAAATATACCAAATCCTAAGGGGAAGGTCCCCCACACAAGGTTAGACAAGCCACTTACCTCGAACCGTCTCAATAATCAACCCGAGACCACGTTCTTGCCACGAGTACTTGACTCCAAATGGCCCAAATCTATTCAATTCAATTGCATAATGTAAATAACACTCAAATAACTTATTCTACAATTAAATTCTAAGCTAATACGCGAAATTAGGTAAAATGACCAAAATGCCCCTCGGGCCCACATCTCGGAATCAGGTAAAATTTATATTTTCAGAATCCTCATACTCTCAAGAGTGCATGTATACCAAAATTATCCAAATCTAAGGTCAAATTTCCAATCAAAAGTCGAATTCTAGGTCTAAGAACTTTCTTCCAACTTTTCCCCAATTTTCATCTCCAATCCGAAATTAAATGATGAAACTAACTATAGATTGATGGAATATAACTAGAAAGGGTTAACGAATTATTACCCAATGATCTCCTCTTCAATTTCCTCCCAAAATCGCCCTCTCCCGAGCTCCAAATCGAATTTTCAACTTTTGAAACTAAACCCTCAAAATTTCATATATCTGCCCAGATGTTACCGCATTTGCGGTCCTAAGACCGCTTCTGCGGTCCCGCTTTTGCGGAACACGGGTCGCATCTGCGACTTCTCACTTAGAACCAATCTTCCGCATCTACGGCTCCTCATCTGCATATGTGGTACCGCTCCTGCAGAAATCCTACCGCTTTTGCGGTCCCTGCCGAACTTCCCCATTTCCGCTTTTGTGATAGATCCACCGCTTCCGCGGCTCCGCACTTGCGGCCACACTCGCATGTGCGGTTATGACAGAAGAACAGCTGAAGTTGCAACTCCAAAATTCCAAAAATCTTTCTGTCAATCATCCGAAATCATCCCCGAGGCCGCCGAGACCTCAACCAAACCTACCAACATATCCCATAACTTCATTCAAACTTGTTCCAACCTTCGAAACATCCAAAACAACATCAAAACACCTATTTTTTATCAGATTCAAGCCTAAGAATTCCAAAAACTCTAAAAATACGGTTTCGATAAAAAAATCTATCAAACCTCGTCCGAATGACCTGAAATTTTGCACACACATCACATTCAACACTACGGAGATACTCCAACTTTCGGAATTCCATTCCGACCATCGGATCAAAATCTCACTATCGAACGGGAGACTTCAAAATTCGATCTTTCGGCATTTCAAGCCTAAGTTAGCTACGAACCTCCAAAACACAATCTGAACATGCCCCTAAGCCCGAAATCACCCAACGGAGCTAACAGAACCATCAGATTTCCATTCCGAGGCCGTCTTCACACTGTTCCGACTACGGTCAACTTTCCAACTCTTAAGCTCTCATTTAGGGACTAAGTGTCCCAAAACTCTCCGAAACTCAAAACCGAACATCCCGGCAATCAACATAGCAGAAATAAATACGGGAAAAGCAGTTAATAGAAGATCAGAGCGTAAATTCTTAAGACGACCGGCCGGGTCATCACAGTATCACACACACTAGTAAGAATGAGACGGGTTTAGGTAGGAAACTGACAAATATTGTATAGTTTAGGCGGGTTTGAGGGTATTATCTCTTTTCAAAATAAGTTACACATTTAAGAGGTTTGGCCAAATATGCTATTATTGTTTGTACTACTCCATCTATTCCAGTTTATCCGAACACGCCCCTAATCCCGAAATCACCCAACGGAGCTAACAGAACCATAAGATTTCCATTCCGAGACCGTCTTTACACTGTTTAGACTACGGTCAACTTTCCAACACTTAAGCTCTCATTTAGGGACTAAGTGTCGCAAAACTCTCCGAAACTCAAAACCGAACATCCCGACAATCAACATAGCAGAAATAAACACGGGGAAAGCAGTTAATGGGGGTAGGGGCGTAAATTCTTAAGATGACCGGTCGGGTCGTCACAGTATCACACACACTAGTAAGAATGAGACGGGGTGTTTTATTATGAAGGGGATATAGCTCAGGGAGTTTTCGGGGACATGCGATAGTTTAAGTAGGAAACTGACAAATATTGTATAGTTTAGGCGGGTTTGAGGGTATTAACTCTTTTCAAAATAAGTTACACATTTAAGAGGTTTGGCCAAACATGCTATTATTGTTTGTACTACTCCCTCTATTCTAGTTTATCTGAACCTATTTCTTTTTTGGTCCGTTCTAAAAAGAATGACCATTTTTTAAATTTGGTAACAATTTAGCTTAGACTTATAATTCTACCCCAATGAAAAGCTTTTATAACTGTATACATACTTTGGATCACTTTTTAGCTTGTTTAAGACCATAAATTCCAAAAAATTTTGACTTATTTAGGATCATAAATTCCAATTTTTTTTTTTTAAATTGAACCTAGTCAAACAGGTTCAAAGAACGGGACGGGAGGGAGTATACCTTGAAATAAAAGCGCCGCACTACGGCCGCTTCCGACTCCACTTCTAAAACACGAAAGGCCGAAAGAAATGCTATGGCGCTATACTCAGCAATTCGCAGAGCCTCTAATTCCACAATTCCTCTTGCAGTTCGCTCCGTCGCTACTTCCGCAACTTCCCATTTCTCTGCCGCCACCACCGCCGTAGAGAATAGTGATTGCGGCAGAGTTTCTCGAAGCTTCTCAATTCCGGTGCTTCACTATTCTACCAGCGCAGTCAAGAAGAAGAAGAGCAAACACAGCTCCTTTGATGATATTCTCCTCCAAATCGTCAATTCGGAAATCAATTTTTCCCTAGATTCTGATTTTCATGACTGCGTAAGTTCTTGCAATTTGAATGATGAGATAAAATGACAAATTGATTTTCTTTTTCTTTTTCTTTTTGTGTGGTTATTTTTGAATGTTGGTGGCCTGTTTGCTTAAAGTACCAGTATGCATCATGTTTGGTTTGAATTTAATCTCCTAATTCAATTACTTTCAATTTGCAATAGAAAGAATTATATTAATGAAAATGATTTGAAAGAAATATTAAAGGACAACAGAAGATATATTTGTCTCTGACACTGCTAGAGCTCTAATGGCACTAATATCATTCTACCTTAAAATTTTCGTAACTCGTTACTCCCACATGTTCAATTTTATATGACACTAAAATCGTAACTCGTTACTCCCACATGTTCAATTTTATATAGCACTATTTTCTTTCTAATCTGTATGAGAACAATGACACATTTCTATACTTGGATTTTACACCTGATGACATGATTTTATAGCCACACAAATGTCATGGCATGTTAAGAGTACAAGTTTCAAATGTTGTCTTTCTTTCTTAATCTCCATGTATAACATATAGATTCACATAAAATGAACTTTCTGGTTTTAGCCAATCTGATAGCGGTCTGATGAAAATTTTGATTATTTTGATCGAATTTGCTTATTTATGATTATGTTAGTATTAGTTGAAGCAGCAATATGAAGTTAAGAAGTGAGATAGTTGTGAAGGAAAATGATTTTCGGCCATAAGTGAGGGAAGTTATTTTCGCCCTTTTGGTGGAAAATGTTTTTCATTTTCTGGCAACCAAACGCCAGAAAATTACTTATTTTCTGATGCAAAAGTACTTCCCACCATACTAAATACAAAACGTGAGTTATATCAATGAAGCTTATAATTTATGCAATCATATGCACCCTGCTTTTATTTGAGAAAGCACCAACATTATCACCACCATTTTCCTTATCTCTGAAGGGATGCAATTGAAGTTGTTTTCAGGACATTCTTAAAGTTTTTACTGGTATGGAGATTCTTAAATGACATAAATGTAACTTTGATTGACTCATCCATATGATTTCATGCCACATCTGTCTTTAGATCAATGTTGATCAGTGATATCTGATGATGTTTAAACTTGTAACGACATAAGATGACACCGCTATTATTCTACATGGGGAATTCCGTGTAGTCTATTATTGCAGAGTCTGTTCATTTAGCCATCATATAAACGTCTATTGTGGGTTTTTATTTCTTTCTAAAAGATCCACGATGTTACTTACTGCGAGTTTGTTGACCCACCCAGCTTTTCTTTTCTCTATTATTTGCAACTATAATTTGTAAATTATAAAAGGTCTCTAGCGTTCTGCTAGTGGAGGACTAGGGTCTAGCTGAAAATAATATTGAGATGGCTCATTGCATATTTTTTTCTATGCAAATATCAGTTTTTATACATCGTTCTTTTCTGTTGTAATGGTGTGAACGCCACATTCTATTATCATTATAATGAGTGAATAGAGTATGGTTTAGGATGACCAGTTAGAACCACCAGTTATTCTTATCAGATGGTGGTCAAACATTGCATAATAAATAAAATGGGTTAATTATTTAAATTTGAATTAGCATGTTCTTTTTTTCTCTGTACTACGGATGAGTAAGCTCTATGCCATCTCTTTTTTTAACCTTTCCTTTTGGTTTTCCATTTTTATCCTCTTCTGGAAGGAAAGTATGAGGTTTCCATGTATATCCTTGCCAATTGTTCCAAAAGTTTAGAAATCTAATGCTGATAATTAGGGGTGTCAATGGATATTTAAAAACCGATTAAACCGATCGAACAGAATTGTACCAAACCGATTTTTAGGTTTCTTTTAATAAAGTCGTAGGTTTTTATATAAATCTATAACCGTACCGATAATTATGGTAGGTTTTTTATTTTATGAAAATAAACCGCTAAAATACCGAACCGTACCGAATAAATTTACAATGTGAAAAATATATTTGTATATTAAGTTTAAAAATAATAAAGCATTAAATTTTTTATTAGGCTTTGGAATTATGAAGCAGTTACAAGCCAACAAATAGTTAAACTCAAAATCATAATTCCCAAACCTATTATGCTACTCCATTTTAAACTAAATTATTTCTAGCATATTCACTAGCAAGACACATGGTATTGTAGCGATTATGAGTAATAAACTACAATGTATTGAATATATGTTTCCTTTCGTATGCTTTTAGATTTATCTTTTGAATATTTGATCTTGTATAGACTTTATTCTTTAATCCTAGCTTGATTAATATCTTTCCACTCGTGTGATTTATATTTTCTTTGTATTTGTTTAGTTTCTTTACATTGATGTAGAATAGTTGATGGATCTATACTTTAGTAATCTTTCATATTTTCTTAATTCATCACCTGTTAAACTGTAAAATTGTCTACAGAATTTTTCTAAGTCCTATAAAAGTACGTATGTTATTGCATTCTAGTTCTACTAGTGATTTTTACATGATATTTAAAAAATTACCGAATCATACCGATACCGAAGAGAAACGACATGATTGGGATGGTTTCGAAAAGTCTAATTTTGGTTATACATAATAGAATAACCGAAAAATTGGTATGGTACAAATTTTATAAAATAACCGGCCGAACCGAACCATTGACACCCCTACTGTTAGTAATTATTCTTATGTAATTTATAAAGGGCTAAGAGCAGTCCATTGAGCTGGACGGAAGCATAAGCTATTTGATTTCTGATAATCAAATCATAAGGCATTTGTTATTAACGGAAAGGTATTATATATTCTGAGAAAAAAGATTAACTGCCCAAGTTGTAGGACTAGAAGTTGACGAAGACCATAAATATGGTATCAAAGTATGTGCTGGTTTTAGTTACTTCAGATTAACCTACTTGATGGTTGATGCAGGATATACAATAAGGTAAATCAAGCTTTATATAAATTTCACCCATCTATGGTCTATATCTACTTTCTTAATATGTAGAGACCACCAAGTTAGCTGCCTAACTTTAAGTGGGCATATCAATCCACGATTTCTCTAAATGTAATACAGTCAAACCTCTCAATAATAGCCTCATTTGTTCCGATATTTTTTGGTTGCTATAGAGAAGTGCTGTTATAGAGGATATATATATAATATAACATAAAAATCGGCTCCGAGGAAAACTTGGCTTTTATAGTGAATGTATGTCATGTAGGGATGGTGTTATAGAGAGATTTGACTGTAGTATGGCAATGGGATGTTATCGAGCGCGTTTACCACCTATTGCATCATTTGGTTGAAAATTTCCTTCATGTAGGTTGTAGACATTCCGGATGGGTTTCCGTTTAAGGTTCAAGATAAAGCCGGAGAAAGAGTTATTGTTCTTACGAGGGATTATGGAGAAGAGGCCATAAGTATTGAAATTGACATGCCCAATGGCAGATGTGAAAATGCTGAAGATGATGCTGTTAACAGTGAGGAAGAGAGTGAGTCGCAACCTAGTGTTCCATTGTCTGTGACCGTGTCAAAAGAAAATGGCTTGGCACTAGAGTTTGATGTGAGAGCTTTTCCAAATAAAATTTTGATTTGTGGAATATCCATCAAGGAGCTCAAAAGTTCAAGCAATCAGCTAGACTATAGAGGGCCTGCTTTTTCGTAAGTACTTATCTATTATCTGATGGAGTTGGTTTAGAGCCACTTTCTTATACTGATCACGCAAGTTATGTTTATCTTCTTTTCAGACTTCTAAATGAAAGTCTGCAGAAGTCTTTCTATGAATATCTTGAAGTCAGAGGGCTGACGGGCAGCACTGCCAACTTTTTGTTGGAGTATGTAATTAGCAAAGACAGCAAGGAATACATCCGGTGGCTAAAAACTATCAAGAAGTTTGTCGAGAATTAGCGTTCGTTTTTTGTTAATATTTTAAGTAGAAACTGGTGAGCCTTTGCATATGATTATATTATTGCACTCCCTTTCACTTATTTGGTCTATTTTAAGATATTATTATCACTTCTCTTGCTTCTTTTGTTGTTACCTATCTCTTCTTTCGTTTCTTTTCTGAAATTATTATCTCTTCTGTTGAGCCGAGGGTCTCCTGAAAACAGCCTCTCTACCCTTCCGGGATAGGGGTAAGGTCTGCGTACATCCTACCCTCCCCAGACCCCACTAGTGGGATTTTACTGGGTATGTTGTTGTTGTAAACTGGTGAGCCTAACTGTTTTTGTTTCGAGTTGTTAATAGTGTAGCAAGAATTTCTACTATAGCGGAGTCTCTTGCTGGATATGCCTTATCTACTTTTACTTTTGTTCTTATTGTCCGAACTATTTCTTTTCAGCAGGTTTGTAGTTGAGGTCATTGCTGAAGAAACATTTGGGTAATGTCAGACTATAGATGATGAAGGTTGGAACGTCAAAGATGGTAAGAAACGGCAACAGTAATCTCTACCATTTTCTTCAGGATAGTGCTGGCTTTAAAAGATAGCATAAGTAGAGGCAATCCTTGCACAAATTTGAGTTTTTTGCGACTTTGTTCAATGGATTAGATTCTGTGAGTCTCAGGCAATTCGTCTACACGTTAAATGTAGCAATGATAATGTTATGCATGAACTGCACAACTTTCTTAAGCTGCAGCATACATGTGCCAATATAAGATACAAAATCAGATACATGAGAGAAGCAGAGCTGTGGACCGGCTTTCTCATAGAGGACATGTAGTTCTACTACTATTAAAATTTATTGATTTTGCTGATGGGACCTTGGCTTGTATAGTCAATTATGACAGAGGTTTTGTTCCCAGAGCTTAGTATGACTCCCGGGGCTACATATAACAAAACAATAGGGAGGCGTTTTTTCCCCCCTTTATTGTTTGACATTGCAGCTTTGGTCCCCCCTATTTTCTCATATAAATAAGAGAAAACAATCATTGTATAAAGCTCTACATTATTAGTTGGGCGTTTTCACCATTTCCGTTTCTTCTATGGACAATACTGGCAAATTCATGCAGATTCTTTGTATCAATTTTATCCTAAATTTAAATGTGCATTGATAATACATGTATTAGATCACCTAATATCACACACGACCTTCAAATTATTACTTGTTTAACTAATCTCTTTCTCATATCTCCAAGTAGGAAGGTCCATGACAGTCCGTCATAAGATTTGTTCATGTCCAGTTTGATAACTACATTGTTTCCTGTATTCTTCTGTCTGATTCCACTTGCTATTTTCTTGAGGAAGTAGAGTGTTTCCCCCAATTGTCCAGCCTTTAGTGAAACCACTTTGGTTAGGCAAAAGTTCAGAAAATCTGTTGTTCAGCAACTTGGTGATAATCTTTTAGACTGGTTTTAAATAAGAATTCGTTTGTAGCTAGCAACGTGTTATCTACATTTATATATGTTATACACAAGGTTGTTATATTTTTATATATGATATTATACACTTTTATTCAAGATAGATACATCGCTTATATAGGTATATAAATACTGTATAATGATGTATAAAGATGTACGAACATTGTTGCAAAACAATAGTTGGCTACGCGGGTAAATTGAAAATGTGGCTACATGAGTGGAAAGTGTTGTGTTGGGGTATATATTTTTTAAAATTCCCCAAATAATTTCATTGAAATACCAAGAATGGAAAAGTAATAATATTCAAAAAGAACCAGTTAAACCAATTTCATTTCTATAAGTTTGTACTCTAATACAATCGAGTGGATGTTAACGTTAATACAAGAATTAATAGCGGCATCTCAATTTTTAGGGCCAACAGCACGTATGTGGGAATTTTATCTATCAATTTAGATCATCGTGATTTCCACACTTCATCAAGAAATACATATAGTTTCACCAAGTAAATAGTTGCGCAGTGTAAAAATTATTATGACAATACCATCCTCACGCAAGGTAAGGAAGGACCACATCCAAGGGGTATGATGCAGACAGAGGCGGAGCTAGCCTTCTGTCAACGGGTGCGGCCGAATGTAGTAGCTTTTATGCAGACTCTGTATTAGTGGCTACTTTTACAACTCGAACCCGTGACCTAGATCACATAAAGACAATTTTACCGTTGCTCCAAGGCTCTCTTAATTAAAACGAGGGATAGTAATGTATTTATAGACTGAATATGATCTCCCACCTAATAGGCTAGACGTTTAAATTGGATTCTCTAACTGATATCAAAATAGGTTGATCAACGCTTGAGGCCACAACTCGGAGTAATAGCCTAGACCCAAGAGGGGTGCAGGCACCATGACCACTGCGGAGGGTGCCAGAAATGGTAGCTTGGATCCAAGAGGGATGCCCGTCATGATCAACTAGGCCCAAAAAGAAGAATGAAATGCTAGCCATGGCCAACTGGGCCAGAGGAATCCCAGGAGTTGTTGCCTGTATCAAAAGGAGTGATGATGCCAAATTGGTAGTAATAGTGATTAGGGAACGCAAACGAACGGATCGGGTCAGATATGACTGGTTGAAAATGGGTAATGCAAAAATAAATGAAATATCCGACCAACTCATACTTAATATGGATGGAAAATGGATTAAACGGTAAATAATAGTGATACCTAAATTATCCATGGCTTCTTGAACGTGAACAATTTTGGGAGAATTTTTATTCTCTCAAAGTTGAGGAACTTTCAATTTGAGTCTTTGCAAATGAAAAAATTAAACGCATTAGTAGTTATCCATTAAATATTATTTTTAAGTGGATTATATGATTTTATCCATATTGATCTATTTTATAAAGTTCGTTATCCAACCAATTTTTTAATGGATAATTATTTTTGTTTTGTTATCCATTTTACCACCACTAGTAGTAACCAACTAGGTTATTGGTCCTCGAGCGAGGGTGGTAATTGTTGCCAATTATCCGTCACTGATTCAATAGAAAAATAGTGTAATGGATTTATTATCACATTTGACATTATAACGCGGAAGTAAACAAGAGTACTACTGCCAAGAAATCTACTCGAAAACTCAAAGTAAAAATAACAGGTACGTCGAGGTTGACGTGTCGATGGTACCACGTTCTTTAGAGACAAATTTATTTGAGGGGACCAATATGATCGATGTATTAGTTTTTCCTAAGAATATAAATATGAGTTGATTTTCGTACCACGAAGTCAGCTAAGATTTAACACTTGATGGCCGTTCGGGGTTGATATTCGATATCGTACCCGCTAAGTTCGACGGTCCATTTGGCTAATCGGCCTGATAACTCGGGTTTGTGCAAAATATTTCGGAGAGGGTAAGTAGTTAACACACATATTGGGTGACACTGGAAATATGACTTTAGCTTTTTAGATGCGCTTATTAGTGCAAGTGCTAATTTTTCTAAGTGTGGGTATCTAGTTTCAGCATCTTTTAAAGTCCGACTTACATAATAAACAGGAAATTGCGTACCTTATTCTTCTCGAACTAGTACCCCACTTGCCGCTATCTCGGACACTGCCAAATATAAGTAAAGCTTTTCATCCACCTTCGGAGTGTGAAGCAGAGGTGGGCTCGATAAATATCGCTTCAATTCCTCCAATACTTGCTGGAATTCCGAGGTTCATGCGAAATCCTTTTTCTTTTTGAGCAAGGAAAAGAACTTGTGGCTTCGATCCGACGACCTCGAAATGAATCGACCCAAGGCGGCTATCTGTCCTGTTAACCTTTGTACGACTTTCACTCTATCTACGATAGTGATATCTTCTATGGCCTTGATCTTGTCGGGGTTGATTTCGATCCCTCGATTTGATACCATGAAGCCGAGGAAGTTGCCCGAACCGACCTCGAAGGCACATCTTTCTGGGTTAAGCTTCATGTTGTACTTCATCAAGATTTTGAATGTTTCCTACAAATGAGTTAAATGGTCATATGTGCGCAGGGATTTAACCAACATATCGTCAATGTAAACTTCCATTGATTTACCTATCTATTCTTTGAACATTTTGTTAACTAGGTGTTGGTATGCAGCTCCAGCAGTTTTTAGCCCGAAGGGTATTACATTGTAATAGTATATTACAAACTTAGTGATAAACGAGGTCTTCTCCTGGTCCTCCGGGTTCATCTGAATTTGATTGTACCCGGAGTAGGCGTCGAGAAAGGTAAGGATGTCGTGGTCGGCCGTGGCATAGATCATGCAATCAATGTTAGGCAGTGGAAAAGAGTCTTTAGGGCATACATTATTCAAATCCTTATAATCTACGCACATTCTCAGTTTGTTCCCCCCATTTTTGGGACTACAACTACGTTGGCTAACCATTCGGGGTACTTTACCTCCCGAATAGACCCTATGTTAAGAAGTTTAGTTACCTCGTCCTTTATGAATGCATGCTTTACCTCGGACTGGGGCCTTTTTTTTGCTTTACTGGTTTGAACCTGGGGTCGAGGCTTAGCCGGTGTGCTGTTATTTTCGATGGGATCCCTGTCATGTCTAAATGAGACCAAGCAAAACAATTCATGTTATTGATAAGAAATTGAATGAGTTTATTCTTAAGTTCGGGGGTTAACCCCGTTCCCAGGTATACCTTTTTCTCGGGCATGTACTCGATCAGTATGACCTGTTCCAATTCCTCAACTGTTGACTTGGTTTCATCTGACTCTTCGGGAACAACAAAAGTTCGAGGAGTAAGGAAATCCTCATCTTCTTCTTCTTCTTCTTCTTCTTCTTCTTCTTCTTCTTCTTCTTCTTCTTCGATTACTTGTTCATCCGATTCGATTGAGGTTGGGGGCGGTGATTGCTATTTGGCCGTCTGCTTATCTTGGTGCTCGATTTTTCCGAGGTCGAAGTCACTGGTACCGGAGTAACCTAATCGACTACAAATATTTCCTTTGTAGCGTGTTGTTCTCCGTAAACGGTTTTCACACCATCCACTGTTGGGAATTTCATCATCTGATGAAGGGTTGAAGGTACTACCCTCATGTTGTGGATCCATGGCCTCCCGAGTAGTGCATTATATCTCATGTCGCCTTCGATGACATGAAATTTTGTATCTTGGATGGTCCCAGCCATGTTCACTAGCAGGATTATCTCCCCCTTCGTTGTTTTGCTTGCCATGTTGAAGACATTTAAGACTCGAGATGCAGGTACAATTTGGTCCTGTAGGCCGAGCTGCTCTACGACCCTCGATCTGATTATGTTTGCTGAGCAACCTAGATCCACTAGAACACGTTTAACTTGAACTTTATTAAACAAAATAGAAATTAACAGGGCGTCATTGTGCGGTTGAGATATGCCTTCCGCTTCCTCGCCATCGAATGATAGGACGCCCTCGGGCACATAACTCCTAGTCCATTTTCACACCATCCACTGTTGGGAATTTCATCATCTGATGAAGGGTTGAAGGTACTGCCCTCATGTTGTGGATCCATGGCCTCCCGAGTAGTGCATTATATATCATGTCACCTTTGATGACATGAAATTTTGTATCTTGGATGGTCACGACCACGTTCACTGGCAGGATTATCTCCCCATTCATTGTTTCTCTTGCCATATTGAAGCAATTTAGGACTCGAGATACAGGTACAATTTGGTCCTGTAGGCCAAGCTGCTCTACGACCCTCGATCTGATTATGTTTGCTGAGCTACCTGGATCCACTTGAACACGTTTAACTGGAACTTTATTTAACAAAAGAGAAATTAATAGGGCGTCATTGTGTGATTGAGATATGCCTTCCGCTTCCTCATCATCGAATGATAGGATGCCCCTGGGCACATAAATCCAAGTCCATTTTTCTCTGGTGATCGACACCTTGGTGCGTTTTAATATAGGCCCTTGTGAAACATTGACACCACCAACGATCATATAAATTACATGTTGTGTTTCTTCCTGTTTATTTTTTCTGTTTGCATCTCTTTCCCTGAAGTGGTTCTTAGCTCGATCACTGAGAAACTCTCGGAGATGACCCTCGTTAAACAATCGAGCTACTTTCTCCCCCAGCTACCTGTAGTCTTCGGTCTTATGGCCATGTGTGCCATGATATTTACACATCAAGTTTGGATTCCTTTGAGAAA